TCCTCCTCCTCCTCATCCTCCTCCTCTTCCTCCTCCTCCTCCTCCTCCTCCTCCTCCTCCTCCCGCGCGCGTGGGAGCGCTCGCGTCCTTGCTCCTCCTTCTCCTCCTCCTCAACCTCCTACTCCTCATCCTTCTCCTCGTCAATCCTCGTCCCCCACGCGACCCGGCGCGACCCTCGATGGCGTCGCTGGCGACGACGACGCTAACTCTCTTACCGCTTCGACGGTGACCCGGAGATCCGACATCTTGATGTTATGCACGTGAGGCCCGTAGAATTGCCGCCCTTCTCCTTGGGGCCAGCTCTTCTCAGGAGGGAAAAAACACAGACACAATTAATCGTCGACTCAGAGGAAAATATGGAAAACTATAGGAATTGGGCGGGAAGACAAAAACTTAGAAAATATGGAAAATATGGGGAATCATTTTATTTGTGTGTATTTATTTGTGTGGCCTTGTGCCCCTTGATTCTTCGTCCCAAGCAGTTCTTGCTCACGCTCCCAGGGTCCGGCGGGGGCCTTGAGAGGCCGAGATCGATCGGGGCTGGACAGAACCCCCAACAGTGACACGTCGATTAGTGAATTGTCCGTTTCCGGTTCTCGAGAGGGCGCCGTGGCCGTCATTTTCCAGGCTTGCGCCCGCCAGGTTTGGGCCTCAGGTCGTTTTCACGAAACCACGTTTTGCTAAAGGGGGTCTGTCCATCCCCGAATCGAGGAAAGCCTCCGACACGTTTTCTCAGCGCTGGAGCTTCGCGTGGACGGCGGCGGCGGCCCGGACCCGCGGCGGCGTGCTCCCGGAGGTCTCGGAGACACGCCCCCGGGCCGGTTTTCCATCCCCGGTCGCTCCTTGACGGTCCCGAGACCAGGTGAGGGCCCCCAGCAAAACGACGCGAAGATCGGGACAAAATCGGATCGGGATAACTCGAAATCTCTGAGAATCGGCGGGGTTGGAGGATATACTGGGCGCCGCGGCCGCTCCAGAGCGTTCCGGAACGCTCTGAGAGCGCTCCGGAACGCTCTGGAGCGATTTATCCCGATCCTAGCCCTGTTTTACCCAGGGGCTGAGTGTAGCTAACAAAAGCTGTCCGTCGTGATTCTTTGCGCATGGATCCTTCGCCCTTTGGGCTGCTCGCCCCGATCGCGGCCTGTCGGGGGGGCGACGGTGCGCTGGCCCGTCGTGCGCTTTTTGTTCACGGCTCGGGGGCATCAGTAGACGACGGACGGCGACTCGGCGCCGGCGGTAAACCGTCAACCAGGTCACCGCCGGGGACCTCGGAGAGCTCCTTGCACGCGTAAGAACGCTCAGAATGCACCCAGAAAGCTTCCTGAATCATATTGAAAACTGGAAACATGTTTTTTGGTTTGAACACACATTCGATTCCGCCAAGTGTATTGATAGTGGTACTGTAGCTACAGACCTGGAAATCTTACCAGCGAGCGCGAAATAACCTTCTACAGGTGCGACACATCTTGATTCTGAAAACGAATAGTCAAATCTCTTACATCCTTCAGAAGAACTGCAATTTCGTAAACATGCGTTGTTCTGGAGGTCGGCCCCGGGAAGTGAACCGATAGAAGTATTGCAGCTACAGCCCTGAAATGTTTACCAGCGAACGCAGCGTGATCCAAAGCTCGGAGTAAAAATCTTGGATTTTGAAAAGAATTGCGAAATCCCCGAGTCCAGATCTTCACTTTGTCCTTTGTGCCTGGGTCGGTCAACTAGCTCCACCCCGCCGCCAAATTCCTCTTAGCTCATCTAGCCGGAGAGCGGGCTGCCCGTGGTCGAGGCCTCCCAGATGGGGTTCGAGCAGACGGGGTCAGAGGACGACGCGGATGAAAAGGACCACAACGGCGATGACCGCGGTGGCACCCTGCGGCTTTGGCCAGCCCTCGGGCCGGGGCGCACGTCGACGCCCAGGCCTCCCAAAGAGTGTCCGAGCAGATGGGGCCGGAGGACCCCGCCGCATCGCCGGTGCATCGGCGAGGCGGCTCGATGTGGGGCCCGATTTGCTCCACGCAGACGGCGCCGGTGCATCGGCGGTGCCGCCTGCTGATCGGACCCCACCTGCTCGCACCCCATCTCGGAGGCCTAGACCACAGGGGAGCCGACTTTGCAGGCCTCAAAGGCGGCGGAGCGTGGCCGTCGCCGTCGTGCACTGATCCCCCCGAGTCAGGAGGAGCTCGCGACGGATAGGTGTTCGCTACTGTCCTGAAGTCGGGCCTGTCCCTCTACAGGAGGAAAGTTCAAAACACAGTCAAACAATGATGTTGGGACGATTTGTTTTACGATGTTTGAATACTTGGGGGGTATTTTGGGGCAAATTCTATTCTTCGTCCAATATCCGCCTGTAGGGGGACACGCCCGACCTCGTATCATCAGCCTCTGGGAGCCCTCCGTGGGGAGGTGCCGCTGCCAGACCTGCTGCGGGGCCTGCGGAGGGAGCACGGCCCGCTGCTCCTGCTGCAGACGGGCCCCGTGCGCCAGGTGTGGGTCGGCAGCGAGGAGCTCCGCGCCCATGGGTCGCCGATCCCGCGCGGATCCCTCCGGGTGCTTCTCCCGGGAGGGCCCCGAGATCTTGGCGCCTCAATGTTTCCAAGCCAGGCGGTTCCGCCTCTTTGTCGGGCGCCGAGACCCTCACAGGTCGATCCGGCCCTGCAGAAAGATTGGGGTTGGGCTTCCCAGCGTGATGTTTACGATGCTGTATTTCTGTTCGCTAGGTCGGATCTCAGGGGAGGAGGCTTTAGACCCCCCCGAATACTTTGGCCGGGGTGGGGGTTCTGGACCCCCCCCTTCCTTCGGTGTTTGGAGAGGAGGGGTTGAACCCCCTCCCTGCCAGCAGCGGCAGAAGACACTCCCTCGAACTTCTCCACTCCCTTCGTCGAGGGACAAAAGATTTGCACGAAAATAGACTCTCGAAGCCCCGCCCGGGAAATCCGAGCAGACCTCCAAGAACGTATGCTGATGCAGTTTTTTGTTTCTAAGCTTCATTTCCTCCCGTTGCGAAGCGATACTGGCGGGAGTTCGTTTGTTCTGGAGCTGTCGGCTTCTTTGTCCCCTCCCCGGGCCCCCCGACTGTCACACAACGGCTCAGGAGGAGAAAGTGGCGCTGCGGAGAGGGTCGGGACCTTAGTGGGCCCCGGAAACGGCAGGGCCGTTTTTTCACCGTTTCCAGAAAAATGTCCCTTGAAAATGGAAGGGGGGAAAAAACGGCGACCGGAAACGGCAAAAAAACGGCTCCAGGGTGGGAACTGGAGCCGGAACCGGTCAAACAACGGCGACGGAACCAGTAAAAAAACGGAGAAGGAACCGGCAAAAAAACGGCAAGACGGAACCGGTAAAAAAAACGGTGTTGTCGTTTCCAGGGCCCACTAAGGTCGGGACTTCCAGGGACCTCGCGGGCGCAACCCGAGATTTCTGAGGATCTGAGCTGCTCCAGCGGGGCAGTTTTTTGTCGCTTTCGGCCCCAGGGGCCCGTCATCGGGCCCCCGAGCTAGAAATGGGCCCGGGGGCGAACATTTGGCCCCGGGCAGTGGGGGTCGGGACCTTTTTGGGGGCCGGGCCGCGCATGGATCTAACACTGAAGGTCGAATGTCTGGGTCCGACCGCTGTTGCTCCCTCTCGCCTCCCCTCCCCTCCTCTCCTCCCCTCCCCTCCCCTCCCTCCTCTCCGGCCCTCCTCGCTATTTTCGAGGGATCCTGGACTCGGGCACCGGCTTGTCGCGCGGGGTTCGCCTTCTCTGCCGACGGCCGTTTCCGCCTTACCTGCCGAGGGGGTGCGCGGGCGCAGGCCCTCGCGCCGCGGCTGCGGCGGTGGGTCTCTCGCCGCTGCTCTCGGGGAGGACCTGCCAGGTGGGAGCCCGCGCCACGTCGGTGCTCCTCGGTCCTCAAGCTCCCGCAGAGAGGCGCCAATGTCTCATCGGTTGCATCCGCGGCCCCGTGAGGTCTCGACTCCCTTGCAGGGCCGGTGTCTCACCCCGCAGGTTCTCGACGGCCCCGGGGCCCGAAGCGGGGCCCCCGAGGCCGAGGTCGAGGAAAACCGCCCGGGCTGAGCAGATATCCTTGCGTGCTCGTTGTTTTTGGCATCGATCGCTTGCCTCCGAAGAACACTGCGAGACACCCGTAGAATGATTAAGACGACCAGGGAGGTCACACGAGAAGAAGGAATTCATCAAGACCAACATGGACTCCGCCCCTATTCGGGTGAAGACTTCGGCTTGTTGCCTTGAAAGTGTTGCGTCCAGTCACCGCCGAGGGGCTTGCAAGTATGACCGAGACCCACCTGAGCACCGCTGGAGTGAAACATACCAGATACACACAAAGAGATGGAAGGCGTCTGAGCACGGGACTACGAGCGTTTTATACGTGAACCTCGCCAGAACACCTCGTTCCGATTTAGATCGCCCAGGGCGCGCTGTCAGGCGGAAGGCTCTTCTCCGCGACGACAGTGGAACCTTCCAGACAAGCCTCGCAACGCAACAAGCACTCGAGTGCTTCCACCAGTGGCTCAACAACAACAGGACAGTTTTGGGTGGCAAGCACAATAGCAGCGCCCAGCCTCAAAACATACTTCGCGACCTCGATATTGCGATACAAGTCATCGACTTCGGTGCGCTCGGTCGGCATGAGAGTTGCCGAGTTTCTAAAACCAGTCATGTGAATGCATACCTTCTTCATCCGTGTCACCGTGGGCCTTCACCTTCGTATGCGATCGAAGGCTCGTGATAGAAGGTGGAGAGCCTGCATACCGGCTCTTGCATACTGCTCCATGTGTGCCAGCCCTTGCACAGTTACAGTCCTCGTGGGACGCATACCTCGTGAGACCCATACAGAGCCGACCACGCGAAAGCGTAAAACTCAGCACCTTGGGCGTTCTGAGGACAGGGGGCCCACACAAGCCTCATGGCTTCACCGAGGAGGGCCCCGCCGTTGGCCACCATGGCCAAATCCCAGGAACGTCTGGCAAGCTCGCGAACCAGGTGCCGAAGGCTCGAACCATCGATACCGGAAACTAAAAACAGAGGCTGTCCGATGGAGTAAGATGGGGGATCTCGGGGTGAGGAGCAGGCAGGACCTACAGTGCGCCCCAGAAGCGGCAGGGCCGTTTTTTCGATTGTTTTTCCGAACAAGTGTTTCTTGAACAGGTGGAAGCGGCACCAAAAGCGGCAGCACGGCGACCGGAAACGGCTACAAACACGGTTCCAGGATTGGAGCTGGAGCCACGGCGACGGAGCCGGCAACCAAAAACGGCAAAGCGGAGCCGGTAAAAAAAACGGCTTTGTCGTTTCCAGGGCCCACACGTTAGGGGCAGGACACGTCCACGTGTCACGTGTTTTTTGTGCCACCACCTCGAAGAGGCCCTGGTAACATGTCGCCCGGATGTCGGGGCGCACCGGACAATCATCAGAGCATGCTGTGTCTTTCGGCTGCCACGTCCAGGGATGCTTTTTGGATTCCTCTGCCGGCGCGACCCTATCGCTGATCCTCTTCATACGGAGACGTTGGTTTTTCCAGAATGCAGTGAAAAACTGCCCTGTGTGTATCGCTGATCCTGTTAATACGGAGACGTTGGTCTTTTCAGAGTATGTTGAGTAGAGCGCCATGCTCGCAGCTGCACGGCGCGCTCTCGTATACACCCCACTTTCACTCCCTCGACCCTCCTCTGGCTATGCCCTCCTTGCCGCCACTAGGGTTCAGTCGGGCCTGTCTCCCTACAGGGGGATTTTCGACGAAAGTAAAAAGTACCCCAAACATAGTCCAAACATAGTTCAAAAATAGTCTGGGGACTATTTTGTGGTACTTTTTATTTGTGGTACCCTTTTGGTGTATTTTTGTGGTACTTCTTATTTGTCGTCGAAAATCCCCCTGTAGGGGGACAGGCCCGACATAACTCTGGCTGTTCCCTGCTTACCCTCTCTAGGGCCTTGTTCGATCCAGTCGATTGAACCTCCGGGATCGAGGCTAGGCTCCAGGCTCGAGGGGCCAGGGGCGATCGAAGCTCAAGGATCGTGTCCTGGTGCCCCCCCATGGCTCGGGCCGGTGGCTGGGAGCGGGCCCGTCCTCCTCGACGGGAGAGGGGGGGGGAGGAGATCTGCCCACGGGCGGTCTTCCACAGGGGGGTTTTCCCGTCTCGGCACGATCGACACGGCCAGGGGCAACGTCGCTAGATGGGCATGGGCTTGGGAAGTCCAGGTTGCGCTGTGGCCCAGGAGTCCTGGACCCCCTTGGAGTCGAGTGAATGTTTCTTTTTTTAAAATGACCGAGACCCTCCCGAAACCCTCCGGGCACCCTCCCCGAACAGGGTGTTCCGGGAGGCTGTTCGGGAGGTTTCGGGATTGTTTCGGGATTGTTTCGCTTGTTTTGGTGGGGAGACCGTCCCGAGCGAGCCCCGGACCCTGCAATGAAAGATACGGGGGGGTGCCTGGCCGAGAAGGTTGTCAATCATTTTTTAGGACGGCTCCCGGAAGATCTCGAGCATCTTCGGGGCCCGGGGTGGTCTCCATCAGCTGCTCCTCGTCGGGAGAATTCCGGGGGTGCCCGAATCGTCCTGGACTGACGGCCGCTGGAGAGCTGAGGTACGGTACGCATCGGAATCCCGCAAAGGGTGTGTGTGTGTGTATGTGTGTGTGTGCCTGCCCTGGGCGGGGTGCGAGTTCGATCGGTTTTAACATTAAGTCGAGCGTGTCCCCCGACATGGGGATTTTCGATGAAAATCCCCTTACTGTTGGGTCAGAATCCCAACAAAAGGGGGATTTTCGTCGAAAATCCCCGTGTCGGGGGACACGCCCTACAGGGAGATATTGACCCAACAATAGTTCAAAAATAGTCCTAAAATAATTAGTTTGGGGACTATTTTTTGTGTATTTTTAAAACCTTTTTGTAGTATTTTGGCGGTATTTTTAATTTTTCGTCGAAGATCCCTTGTAGGGGGACAGGCCCGACATAAGTTTAACCCCGAGCCGCCCAGAACAAGATACCCCCCAGCCGCCGGCAGTTCCCTGTAGCTGCCGACGATAGGTGGGGCATGCGGGGGGCGTTTGCTTGCGGCAGTTCTCAGGAGAGCAGGGTGAGACAAGGGTGACGTTTTGCCCGTTTCGCCTCCAAGGGGCCTCCTCGTCGCCACGGCTGGACGCAGCGTGAAAAGTCGGTGCGTTTGGACCCCGCCCGGGAGGGGTCCGGGACCGATTTTGAGCCGATTTGGCCACCGTTGTCTCACGGCCGTTGTCTCACGCTGCCCTCCTCCGAAGTTTGATGCCCCAGCGGATCGAATATTCATGTCCTCTTTCAGAGTCACCCCCTCCTTTTGGTGGATCGGGTGCGTCGCCCTCCAATCGCCCATGGGCCCGATAGCCCACCTCGCCCTAGGAACGTGCGGATGTGCTTTCGGGGGCCGGTCGCCGATCTATCGGCGATGGTTCGCCGATTCCGCCGATCTATCGGCGATGGTTCGCCGATTCCAGCTCGGCGTTGTTTCTTCCTGTTCCGGTGGCCTCCGAAGGCTCCCCGTCAAAGGGGTACGGACAAAAGTGAGACGAGGACGGGCTGCAGATCTTGCCTTTTCGGAGCAGGACTCGCTGTCGGTCGCGCTTCGGACGCTGTCCACGTGGGACAGAGAATCGTTTGCCCCAAAAGGGCAGCTGTCGGTCTTGGTCAACGGTTGCTGCTGGGCCTCGTGCCCATACTTTCCGTGCCCGTCTCGGACGTGCTAGCCTTCTTCCCCCGCCCAGCCCGGGCCATCAGTGCCAGCATTTTGGGGATGGGGTTCCCTTAGGTTTCGAAAGGGGTTTGGCGCTCCCTGGCTCAGGCACAACTAAAACAGGGCTAGTATCGGGATAAATCGCTCCAGAGCGTTCCAGAGCGCTCTCAGAGCGTTCCAGAACGCTCTGGAGCGGCCGCGGCGCCCAATACATCCTCCAGGCCCGCCGATTCTCAGAGATTCCGAGTTCTCCCGATCCGATGTTGTCCCGATCTTCGTGTCGTTTTAACAACTGGGGCCGAAGAGCGGCGCAGGTCAGCATTCAGGAGGGAAAAAACACACAGACACAATTAATCGTGGATTCCCCAGAAAATATAGGAAAATATGGGAAGTGGGGGGGAAGGACAAAAACCCAGCAAATAGGGGAACATGTGGGGAGTCCTTTTTATTTGTGTGTCTTTATTTGTGTGCCCTGGGGCCCCTTCAATTATCTGAGGTTTCCCAGGGCACAGAGGTTGAGTTGCCCGGGTGCGGGCCCCAGAGGACGGACTCGCCCGCCAGCAGGGCCCCCCACGAGAAAAAGCCATCGCCCCACCACGGACGGCCCTGGGGCCCCACAGAGGAGGCCTCGGCACACGCGAGGAGGCCCAGGGGAGCAAAGAAGGTCGCGTCCCATAGAGACCCTCGATCTCTCATACCAAGATCTCTCATCATGTGCGCATGCTGCGCCCACCCCGGGCACAAAGTTTGAGTTGCCTGGATGCGGGCCACAGGACAGACTTGCCTGCCAGCAGGGCCCCCCACGAGACAAGCTATCGTCCCACCACGGCCCTGGGGTCCCACAGAGGCCCTGGCACACGTGAGGAGGCCCGGGGAGCAAAGAAGAGCGTATCCCACATAGATCGGGGGCGGAAAAGAGGGGGGTGATGGCTAGGGGGGGGTGGACATCATGGCGTGGCCCATGATGTTTCCCCAGATGTCATGGCGCCTCTTCTTATGTCATTACGTCCCTGGCCCGCCCGCTGGGCCGCGCCCATGCCGCCGGTCATGACTTGCACCCCCCCCCTCTTGGACGCCCCCCTCTTGGCCGCTCCCGCTTAGACCCTCGATCTCTCTTATATCAAGAACTCCTATCACGTGCGCGTGCTGCGCCCACCCCGGCCTCCCAGACAGGAGGTGCTGCGCCAGGTGTACGAGCTGCCGGGGTGCTGCGGGAGGCCGGCCTCGTTCGAGGACCCATTCGGCAACTTCCTGTTCCTCACGAAGGCCGCGCCGCGGGCCGAGGGGGGCACTCCAGCGGCGGCGGCGGCGATCGCACGATCACGCCCATCGGTTTGCGGGATTGCGCCCTCGGCGGCCCCGATGGCACCTCCTCCTCCTCTTCCTTCTACTCATTCTCCTCCTCCTCCTCCTCCTCCTCCTCCTCCTCCTCCTCCTCCTCATCGTCATCCTTCAGGCCCTCCTGTACACCCTCCACCTTGTCCTCCCCACCCCCTGCTCCTGCTCCTTAACTTTCCTGGCCCTCGATCCCCGCAACCGCTCTTCCTTCCCACCCAAGCCCTCCAGTCCTCCGCCCTCGCCGCCCGGCCCTCCCCTTCCTCCCTAGCCGCCACCGGGAGGCTTTCGTGGGGCACGGGGTCCGGCACGAGCGTTCAGCGCCGTGAGGACCAGCAGGCCGAGTCGAGGTCGCGAGCCGGCCCCTCACAGAGGAGGGCGAGTTTCGACTATCCGTAAGGGTGACCCCTCGCCGGAGTGACCATTGGTGCGGGCCCGCCGGGGGTCCTCCCTCCGAGAGCCGAACGCGATGCGATAGCATCGCGTTGCGCGCTTGGGTTTGGCCACCCCGCGCCGTCGGTGCAGCCGCGCACCGAGAGTGCAGCCGAGGGTTGAGACAAGGGTGATTGGCATTTGGGGGGCCCGCTTCGTCGTCACGGCACGGACGCCGCTCGGACAGCCGGGTGCGTTTTTGGAGCCCTGGAGGGCTCCGGGGGCCGATTGTGAGTTGCCGTTGCCTCAATTCGCCCTGCTCCGACTCGAGTCGGCCCGGCTGCCCAGCACACCAGGGCTCGAGCCAAACTGTATTTTGGCGATCTCGTCGACTGTTTTCGACTTGAGTTCGTCTCGCAGCAGAGGCAGAACAAAGGCGGAACGAGGCGGAGCGAAAGCAAAACGAAAGTACGAGGAACACGGGCTCGCTCGAGCCCTGCGGCACACGCAGATGCTGGCGCCCAGGGGTGCAAGGGCAGGGCGTGGCATCGCTGGTGTGTCTGTCTGTGTGTGTGCGTGTGTGTGTGTGTGTGTGTGTGTGTGTGCACTTCTTCTCGGCGAGGACCATCGAACAGCATCTTGGGTCCGACAGTGGAGGGCTTGGTATCGATGGGGCGTGCGCACTTGTCCGAAGCGAGGACCATCGAGAAGCATTTTTGGGTGACGCGCACGAAGCCGAAACATGCACGGGGAGGGGGAGGAGGAGGAGGAGGAGGAGGAGGAGGAGGAGGAGGAGGAGGAGGAGGAGGAGGGGGCGGCGGACGACACGTCGGATGACGTATGAGGACTAGTTGGCGGGGCGTCGTCGTCGAGATGCTGGGTACTGCCGAGTACGAAGTCCAGGACGAGTCGCGGCCAGAAAGAGGGGCGTCCTGCTAGAGGATGAGATCAGGAGCCCACGGCCGCGGTCTTCGTCTGTTGCCGCTTATTAGTCTGGCAGTTCGTCGTCCACGGGAAGGACGCGGGCTGCGGAGGGTCGGAGGACGAGTGCTTATCTGCGTGCTCTGCTGAGGTCTTCTGCTGAAGAGATGTATTGACGCTTTAGGAGGCGGCTTGCTGCGTATTATGTATGTTTGCGCGGGATGTGCGGATTGAGGCTTCTGATTGAGTAGGCTTGTAGTCTGTCTGCGCTGATCCCTCCGACCACCACTGGTGGGGGGCCTTCATACGGGGTCCTTCGCGGGAAGGGCGCGCGGCACGCGCGCTGCCTTGTTGTATCTTTTGTCTGGGGGTGGGGCGTTCTTGCGCGCACCCTCCCGTCGGCAGGGCCGTCGCCGAGCCTCTCGGGAGAGGGCGCCGCCCCAGGCGGCCGCCCGCACTCGTGGGGCGATCGAGGCCCCTGGGGTCCGATGTGGCGCAGCGTATACCTCGACTAGAGGTAAGAGTGGCCTTTCGCCGGAGTGACCTCTGGTGCGGGCACAGATGGGTCCCCAGACGGCTGAAACCGAGGCAGCAGCAGCTGCTTGCGCGCCCACGTTTGGTCCCCCCGCGGCCCCTTACCCAGGGCCACTCCTGCGTGTAGCCGAATGCCACGCAGAGCCCACGCCGGATGTTGTGGCATACGCTAGGAAGGCCCGTGGGGCCGCGGGTGGGCGTGTGCCGTGTGCGTTCTGGTACAGACGTGGCGAGGGAGTGGCCACGTCGCGGAAGCCCACGGTTGCCAGCTGTCTGCTCCCCGACCGCGATCCACGAGTCGCAGAGTGCCTACTCGCAAACGTCCGAGAACAAAAAACACGAGGCTTCCTTGATGTCATGGATCGTAGATCCCCCTCGGCGGATCCAGGACATTTGCGAGTGGCTGCTTCGCGAGCGGTGGAACTCGCGCTTGTCAGTCTGCGGCATGCTCCGAGCCAGGTCGACCTGTGATATACTCTCGGGGCCCCAGTGCCGGCGAAAGCGCCCCGTGCCAACAAACATGGCGACGCCTGGATCTCAGGCGGGGGCCCGCCTTCCCATCGGCAAGGCTCTCCTGGGCCTCTCGATGGACCCCCCCCGCCCCAAACGGCCGCGCCCGGAACGAGTTAGCGCAAGCATGGCTCGAGACGTTCTGGGCGCGTGGATTAGCTACGGGTCCTGCTTCCGTGCGCGTAATCGACGCGCCCCGATCCTTCTCCTCTTCCACCTCCTCCTCCTCCCTCTCCTCCTTCTCCTCCTCCTCCTCCTCCTCCTCCTCCTCCTCCTCCTCCCCCTGCTCCTCCTTCTCCTCCTCCTCCTCCTCCTCCTCCTCTCCCTCCTCCCCCTGCTCTCCGTCTCCTCCTCCTCATTTCTCCTCCTCCTCCTCATCATCACCATCATCATCATGATCATCATCACCACCATCATCATCATCATCATCACATCATCTCAGCATCATCTCATCATCATCATCATCATCATCTCATCATCATTATCATCATCATCATCATCATCATCATCATCATCATCATCATGATCATCATCCCCTCCTCATCATCATCCCCCCATCCCCCTCCCCCTCCCCCTCCCCCTCCCCCCCTCTGGCGCATGGACCCGGGGCGGGATCGAGACGCCCGCGAGACCGCCGAGAGGCCCGCGCACCGACGCGCGCTGGGCAACCCCCCCCCAGCCCGTCGCCCCAGAGGAGCCGGGCCAGGCCGCGGCGATCAAGGCGGCGCAGAGGGCCTGGCTGGAGGCCAACATCAACGCCCCGGCGGTCTCCGCCGGTGGACGGCGCGCCGCCGGAGCAAACAACCACCCCGGACGGCAGGAGGCCCTAGGGTTAATTCGGGCCGGTTCCCTTACGGGGGATTTTCGACGAAAAATACAACATACCCCCAAAATAATCAAACAATAATCCAAAAGTAGTCTGGGGACTATTCTTTGAGCATTTGTTTTTACCATTTGGGGGCATTTTGGGTGTGATTTTCATGTTTTCGTCGAAAGTCCCCCTGTAAGGGGACAGGCCCGACGTAACCCTAGGCAGCATGGCCGAGGAGCCCATACTTGTGAGCAGCAGCAGGGCAGCGGGGGAGCACGCGGGAGGCCGTGCGGGAGGGAGGCCGCGGGGGAGCACGGGCGGGAGGCCAGGGAGACCGCATGCGGGAGACGAGCCCAGACCAGAGAGCATGTTGGAGACCACGCTGTCGGCCCAGATTCGTAGGGCGACCCTGCTCCCGTGTCTCGCGACCCATGCCGCCTGCATGCTGCATTCCTGTGGCAGTGTGGCCCTCGGAAGGGTCTTTTGGTCCTCTCGCGTGTCCTGTCCAGTGAAGTCCGACTGTACGGCAAGCCGTGCGGCACAGCAGACTCCAGATTTCGTGACAAAGGAGAGGGGGTCACGTTGGGGGGGGATCTGAGTCGAGTTGTCTTGGAGGGCTCCAATGGGGTCTGGGCAAGAGGCCGCCCTTTCTGGCTGGTCCGGGGGGGGGGGGTCTAAAGCTGCTCGTCTGGAAGCGTTGTGACCCCCGCCCTTTTCAATTACGAAGCCTGGAGTGATCACCGCGGGGCGTCCAGAAGACCACACGGGAGGCCACGCGGGCCTACCGCATATGGCATCCGGGCAGCGTGGATGGGAGACCGTGCGGGAGACCACGAGACGGCCACGCGGGCGGCAACGGGGTAGGAGAGGCCACGTCGCCCCGTCGACTCCTGGATCCGGCAGAGCACTTCTTCATTTCTTGTGGTGTACAGTGTTTACGTATGATATAATCTAGTGCGATCGAGTATCATACCACAAGGCCACGCCGCCCCGTTGACTCTGGATCTGGCAGAGGTTTTCTAAGTTTCCTGTGGTGTACACGATTTACATACGATAATATATAACATGATCTAGTATAACAGATGAGAAGTAAATATACTACATGATATGTTCGTTTATCTGTATATCGCATACAAGCTGTGCAGACAAGCTTTTGAAGGCAGTGCGCGGGCACCGCCCAGAGGATCGTGTCTCGGCCTCGGGGAAGGGTGGCGGTGCAGACCACGCGGCCCTGGAGGGCACCGGAGAAACTCGCCGGCGGGTGCACGGCCTCCGTGCGCAGACTCTAAGAAGATTCCTGCGGCGCAGGCGCGATGCCGCCGCTCTGGCGCGCGCTGGACGACGGAGGGCACCGGGGCTGGCCGGCGGAGGCCGTGAAGTCCGCCATGTACGGTGCCGTCACCACCGCACTGCTGGGGAAGGCGGGCCGCCGCAGCAGGGTTCGATGCTCGTTTGGGGGGCCTTCTTTGGGGCCCACCCACCTAACGGATCTGTCCGACCCCAGTTCGACTCAAGGTCGATCAAGTTCGACTCAAGAGTTCGGCTCGGCTTCGACTCGGATGCGACTCAAGGTCGACTCGAATCGACGGACGTTCGAGGCAGCTTCGCTCGACGCACGAGTGGAGCGAGCGCCTCCAGGAAAGTCCCCAGCACGAGCAGCCAAACTGTCGGAGGTCCGCGCTGGTTCCTTCGATCGGCGCTGGAGCTCCCTGGCGGCGCTTCCAGCCCCGATCCAAGAGTTCAGCGCGGGCCTCCGAAAGTCAGAGCGTGAATTACCTACCCCGCTTTCGCTTCCAGGCAAAACCAAGCCATACCACGCGCCTCCTCGTCAAGCGGCATGACCAGTACAAGCTGCAATTTGGCATCGTTTGGTATCTCTTGGAAGCGAGGGTGGTCAAAAGCGAGGTAGGTTTGTTATCCCCCTAGAAAGCTTCGGCTCGTGCAATGACTAACTTCTCGACCTTCGCGCGCAGCGTTTTGGGGCGGCGCGGGCGGGGATAAGGCCGAGGCCAAGCTCACGCACGCACGCAGGCCGCCGCGGCCGCACCGCAGGCGGCGATCGGCCAGCCGCCGCGCACCCACTGCCGCCTCTTCCCGTGGGGTCCCTCTTGCAAGGGGCCGCTCCCCCCGCCTCTTCCCCGTGCTTCCGTCGCCCCCTTCTTTCGGGACGGGCGAAAGGGGGGGATTGGGAAAGGGGGGGGTACGAAATTTGCTGCATGCAGCTGATTTCGGCCTCACCGAGGGGCCCATTGCTCGATACATAGCCGCCTCTGGCGCCGGGAGGCGCCGGGAAAATCAGCTACGTGAGCTTACTGTATTATCAAACCCCCCCTTTGCTATCCCCCCCTTTCGCCCGACCCGATTCTTCCCCCAGGCCTCGCCCTTGAGCACTGTCGAGGCTGATCAGCAGGTCGGCCCCGCCAAATCAGGGGCACGCCCATGTCCTGTGCCTCGCGACGCATGCTTCTGCATTCATCTGGCAATGCGGCCCTCTGAAGAGTCTTGTGTCCTCTCGCGTGTCCTACAGTCGGGGCGCTGAGGAAGGAACCCTGTTCGTTGGGGAGGGGCTCGGTGTTCCTTAGTTGTTTTGCAGCTTGCCCTAGGTTTTCCTCAGGTTTTCGATGGGAAATCGAACCTTCACTGATGGGAAAAAGGGGCCTCGTTCCTTATTTAGGGTTCCTTAGGTCAAGGCCCCGACTGTATTCAATCCACCCCGACTGCATTGTGCGTGTCTTGCTGACGCGGTGGCGGCCGTTGCGCGCGGCCGCTCGCAGATATGGGGGGGGGTGCTGGACGGGCCCAGGACGGAGCCTCCCGGAGCGCTCTGGAACGGCCGCAGCGCTCGATACATCTTCCGGAACCGCTGGATCTCAGAGATCCCGGACGTGGCCGGGTCCAGCATCCTTCCATAAATTATTCCCCGGCGCTTTTGGTGTCCATGTCGGGTGTTACCACAAGTGTCCCTGGCCCAAGGTGTCCCCAGGATTGCGTGCAAGACTCATATCCATATCCAGTGCCTCTTGGACTTTTTTGGAAGCGGCGCCACAAGGCCGAGGCGCACTGGATATGGATAACAATCGAGCCTCCAGGGGGCAAATTTATCCATATCCAGTGCGCCTCGGGTTTCTTGGGAAGGGAGCCCGAAACTCCATACTGCAGTGGATATGGACAGAAGTATTGCCCCCACATCCTTCCATTATTCCCCGGCGCTCTTGGTGTCCACGTCGGGTGTTACCACAAGTGTCCCTGGCCCAAGGTGTCCCCAGGATGTCTGGGGAGCCTCATCGCACCCCTCACAGGGCCCAGAGGGCCCCAGGGGGCTCCAGAACGGCGCGAAAAGCTTGGGGCGCCTTGGGCCAGAAGGACGTCCAGATAGCACCCCCCCCACCCCGCCTTTTCTGCCGACACGGTTTTTGGGAGTGCCTGCGTATGTTGCTGAAGCGACGACGGCCGAGTCGCGCGGCCGTTCGTGGACGCCCCATCGGTGCTGTCAGGGATCGCCTCTGAGGCCCCTGGGAGTCGTCAGTGAGCACCCCTCAGAGGTGTCAGTAGCCACTGTCAGGAACTCCCTGCCCAGGGGATGGGTGGCGGGGTGCCCGTTGGCGAGCTCCAAGACTCGGGGACGGCCTCCCCGCCCAGCGGGCCCCAGCGGCAGTTTTGTGAAGTCCACGAGGCCGGCGTGATGTCCGACGACGAGCTCGTCGACTTCATGGGGGCCGTGACGGAGTACACCGAGATGCGCACCAAGAGCAAGCTCGGCAACAAGAAGGACGACAAGCCCGAGCCCCCGCCGGGGTCCGTGAGGATCAAGGAGGTGCTCCTCGGGGCCATGAGCCGCGCGGGGCGCAGCGACGCGGACGTGGCGCTGCCCCTGATGGTGGCCGCCTCCATCGGCGGGGCAGAGATCTTCCCGACTCTGCTGCACTGGGTGTTCCTCTACTTCGCCGCGCACCCCTCCTGCCAAGAGGCGGCCGCGCGAGCGGCGGAGGCGAAGGACCAGCGGGAGCTGATGCGCCTCCTCTACCGGGTCCTCCGCCGCACGGCCTACTCGGTGGCGCTGGGCCCCCCGCGCAAGATCCTGGAGGACACCGAGTTCCAGGGCATGCGCCTCCCCGAAGGGGCGCTGCTCTTCGCGATGCACCCGGCGCTCGTCGACGAGGCGGGGGGCGCGGCAAAAGGGTGCTTCCTCCCCACCCCGACGTGGTTGCTTCCCGGGGTGCGCTGTGGCCAGGACGTCGAGGCGAATCCACCCGTGGCGGCGAGACGCCTCCGCCTCCCCGGAGGCCTACCTGGGGCAGAGCGAGCGAAGGGCGTCGGCATTTGCATGCCCAGACCTCTGGCGTCGTGGCGCGTTCGTTACGTCAAGCAGTGGCAAAGCGTCCTGGCTCGCCTATACAAACAATGTTCTGATCATCTTGTGTGATCTGTACGAAATGTTCTTAGAACATGTCTGGTTCGGACTGTCTTGTTTACACACATTGGGCAGGTTCTAAGGACATTGTTTTTTGGTTTTTGGAAGATGTTTGGGTTTTAAGAACACTTCTTGGTAGGACTATAGGAATGCCGGGACTGTCTGTCCCTGATCAAATATGGAGTCCCCAGAGCTCCGGACCATTTCCCCAATCATTTTCGGACGGTCTTCGTGCTGAGCGAGGCCCCGTGAGGTCGAACACGGCGAAAAGCTGCTCCGCCGTGCTTCTTTTGTGCAGTCCGGACGCTGAGATCAGGACCGCCGTGGGCTCAGGAGGAGCTCCAGTGATCGGGCCGTTGCTCGTATGGTCCAGGCTCACGGCGGCCAGAAGCGTCCCTCCGCTCCCAGTGGCGCATTCGCTTATGGTAGCACGGTGGTTGTGCAGGCGAGACCGATGGCAAGGACGGGTAGCCTTCCCAGGGGCACCCTTGCATCCGTGCCTCTGTGGTCCCTCTGTGCCTACTTCCGATGGCAAGCACGGGTAGCCTTCCCAAGGGCACCCTTGCATCCGTACCTCTTTGGTCCAGCTGTGCCCACCTCCGACGATGGCGAGGACGGGCAGCCTTCCCAAGGGCCCCCCTGCACCCCTGCCTCTCTGGCCCCACTTTGACTGCTTGCGCTGAGCCCGCCGCGCTCGACGCACATCATCTGCTCGGACCCCACCAAGGGGGCCTAGAGCTGTGGCTCCTCCTCCTCCTCCTCCCCCTCCTCCTCCTCCTCCTCCTCCTCCTCCTCCTCCTCCTAGGCCTGGAGCTGTGGCGCCCGCGCCCGCCTGCGGACCCGCCTGCGGACTCATCCCTGCCGAGCGGATTCCCCTCGTTGCCGAGCAGGGCGGGGCGGGCGGCTCGCGTCCTCGCCGCGCGCCCTTGCCGTCGGCCTCGACCGCCGCTGGTGCGGACGTCTGGGCGCCTCGGCGGCCCCCCTTCCGAGAGGCCCTCGGCGCCGAGCCCGCGGACGACGACGACTTCTCCACGTACGCCTTCGGCGTGGGGCCCCGCGCCTGCCTGGGGCAGCTGCTGACGGAGGCGCTGCTGCCCGCCGCCGTGGGCGCCCTCCTCGGGCGGTGCTCGCAGGGGCAAGCTGCCCCCTCCTCCTCCTCCTCCTCCTCCTCCTCCTCCTCCTCCTCCTCCTCCTGCTAGGAGGAGGAGGAGGAGGAGGAGGAGGAGGAGGAGGAGGAGGAGGAGGAGGAGGAGGAGGAGGGAGGAGGAGGGAGGCCACGGGGGAGCACGGGCGGGAGGCCAGGGAGACCGTACGGGAGACGAGCCCAGAGAACGTGTTGGAGACCATACAGTCGGCCCGAATTTTGTAGGTCGACCCTGCCAAGTCAAGGGTACCTTTTGTGTCCCGTGTCCCGCGACCCGTGCCTCCTGCCTTCCGACGGCAGTGTGGCCCTCGGAGGGGTCCGTTGTCCTCTCGCGTGTCCTGTCCAGGGAAGTCCGACGGCACGCTCCGAGATCTCCGAGGGTTCTCCTCAGGCCTGTTCCCATGAGATGGCCAAGGCATCTGCACGGGCATGCTTGAGGGCCCGAAGCGCGTGTTGAGTCAGTCTTAGGCCCGGCATGCCCTCCTACAGGCGGATTCTGGACGAAGGATACAACGTCTCCAACACATGCGCCATCACAGTTCAAACATACGATTCAAAACATCGTTCCCATATTTATCACTGCTTTTGAATGTTCCTCCTGTGGAGGGACATGCCCGGTTTACAACCAGCTACAGGGGCAGAACACGGAACTCCACCACCGAGATCGTGGGTCAGCCCCCCTCGATGGAAGTGACCGCCTAATTTTGGTGGCGGTGTCAGTGTGCAGGCCCCTCAAGGACAGTTGCCAAGGACCAACTCAAGCTATGGTCGGGAACTTTTGATAGCGTGTCGCTCCTCCGGTTCTGGCCCGACTTAAAACCAGTCCTATGATGCCAACATTCTCGCCCCAGGTACCGCGTGACGGCCGCGGCCTCGCGGTGGCCCTTGCCGCGCGAGCTGAGGCCGGAGGGCACCAGCTGCTCCGAGATCCGGGCGTTCCGTATCTCCGCCTCCTCCTCGTCCTCCTCCTCCTCCTCCACTTCCTGCTCCCTCCTCCCCCCTTCTCCTCCCTCCTCCTTCTCCTCCTCCTCCTCCTCCTCCTCCTCCTCCTTCTCCTCCCTCCTCCTCCTCCTCCTCCTCCCTCCTCCTCCTCACCTCCTCCTCCCTCCTCCTCCCCCTCCTCCCTCCTCCTCCCCTCCTCCTCCTCCTCCCTCCTCCTCCCTCCTCCTCTCCCCTCCTCCTCCTCCCTCCTCCTCCTCCTCCTCCTCCTCCTCCCCTCTTGAGCCTCTCCCTCCTCCCTCCTCCTCCTCCTCCTCCCTGCTCTCTCCTCCTCCTCCTCCCTCCTCCTCCCTCCTCCTCCTTTTCCTCCTCCTCCTCCTCCCTCTCCTCCCTCCTCCTCCTTTTCCTCCTCCTCCTCCTCCTCCTCCTCCTCCCCCTCCTCCTCGTCCTCCTCCTCCTCCTCCTTTTCTCGGGCCCCCGTGGCCATCACAGATCGATGCAGCCTGGAAAGTGCCGCAGGGAACTGGGCTCGAGGCAGGGCTCTCCGGTCGTTGTCGTGTCGCGCTCTGGCCACGGGTTCGCGGCGTCGGATCTCAGGGTATACGCTGTGACACCAAGACCGATCCTGGCCAGGCCGCCCCTTGGCCCAGACTGGTGTCGCTGCCTTCTGCACGAGCCAGGAGGGCGCGTGCATCGGTCCTGGGGCCAGGATGAGCCTGGCGAGGGTTTGGTCGGGCATGTCCCTCTACAGGGGGAATCTGCAAGAATAGTCTGGGGATTATGTTTGGACTATTTCTGATTTGTTTGTTCTACTTTTCATCATTGTTCTTCCAACACCCGCCTTTAGGGAGACATGTCCGACCTAAGGCGAAGGGAGGTGTGAGTGTATTGTTGGTGTCCTCCCATGAGGGGCCAGCTGATCTACCCCGTAGACCCGCCCGCGCTCGGCTGGGAGCTCCGCAGCGCGCAAGACAAGCGGTTGCTCGGCCAGAGGAGGAGGAGGAGGAGGAGGAGGAGGAGGAGGAGGAGGAGGAGGAGGAGGAGGAGGAGGGGAGGAGGAGGAGGGAGGAGGAGGAGGGGGAGGAGGAGAAGGAAGGAAGGAGGAGGAGGAGGAAGAGGAAGGGAGGAGGAAGGGAGGAGGAAGGGAGGAGGAGGAGTCGTGCACCGGTGCCGGTTTCCCTTCCCTCCTCGCCACGGTCGGCCCTTGCCTCGACATCTTTCCCGCGCGAGAGCGCCCCGTGGGGTGAGCCCCGAGGCTGTCGCAGTGTTGGTATCTCTTCGCCCCCAAAAGTCAGTACCAGGAGGAGGAGGAGGAGGAGGAGGAGGAGGAGGAGGAGGAGGAGGAGGAGGGAGGAGGAGGAGGGAGGAGGAAGAGGGAGGAGGAGAAGTAAGGAGGAGGAGGAGGAGGAGGAGGAGGAGGAGGAAGAGGAGGGGAGGAGGAAGGGAGGAGGAAGGGAGGAGGAGGAGTCGTGCACCAGTGCCGGTTTCCCTTCCCTCCTCGCCACGGCCGGCCCTTGCCTCGACATCTTTCCCGCGCGAGAGCGCCCCGTGGGGTGAGCCCCGAGGCTGTCGCAGTGTTGGTATCTCTTCGCCCCCCCAAAGTCAGTACCGTTTAACCGATCCCCATGCCCATCCCCATATCCATCCAGACCCTCGCCAAATTACCACCCCAGTTGGGGCTACACCTCTTGAAATCCGAAGTGAACGGCCTATATCCCCATCTAGGAGAGGAAACCGGCCAGTGGGGCCCAGCCCACGCTGGTGGGGATGGGCATCGGTCAAGCGATACTCAAAGGGGCCAGGTGCCATGGGAGGAAACGAAATCTGGCGTCTGCGAAGCGGCCCCGGGCGTTGACTAAAAGCCGCCCTGCCCCACTGTTCAATCCCCCCCCTTCGGGTGCGGTGACCAAACGGCTCCGCGTGCCGGAGTGCTCTCTACGAGCGTGGACCCTCCGCCCTCCAAGGTTCGGGGGAACGTAAGACTCGACTAAGCCGGAACTCGGGTTTGCCGACGTTTTTTGACGAGCGCGTCCTGGATTTTGACGGCCCCGTTTTCGTGGGATGTTTGCAGCGGGAGGTCGCGTCAGATTTCAGATTGGGCCTCGTCATTTCTATTATGGCCCCGTCAGGCCAACCCGAATCCCCCCTACCCGAGTCTCTCGTCTCCCCGAAAGGTGCTCGAGCGGGGCCCCTCGTCGCGCGCGGCCGCCCCGCCCTCGCGCGCAGCCGGCCGCCGAGGACCGCCGGAGACCGCCGCTGGGGCCGCTGGCAGGCCCACCAGCCGCCGAGGGGTGCCGAGAGTGGTCCAGGGTCGAACGCCGGCCTGTGTCACGGGCCCGGGGTGGTGGCTGCTCGGGCCGCGTTTCTCTTTGGAGTCCCGAAACGGTGCGGTGACAGACCGTGCGGTGACCTCGAGATCACCCAAAACCTCACCGCACGGTCCGTCACCGCACGGTCTTGGGGCTCCAGAGGCCCCTGTCGCCCGAGGCATCCTCGGAGAACGACCCGAGTCCCAAAACCGTGCGGTGACCCCGAATCCCCACCGACTCACCGCACGGTGTGGTCACGACCCCGTCTGTGGGCCCCCGTGTCTCGGCGTGTAGTCTCGAGTCGGGCCTGCCCCTCTACAGGGGGGATCTCTCGGAAGAGTACATCAGTACTAGTCTGGGGGCGATGTTTCACATCGTTTTCTGGACCATGTCTGAACATTTTGGACCCCTTTCTATCACTCTCCCACACTCCGCCTGTACGAGGACATGCCCGACCCAAGGGTAGCCCTTTGGCACTCCACGGGCCTCCCAGGTGGGGTCCGAGCAGATGGGGTCGAAGGGTCGCTCTGCATCGCCGTCCCCCCGACCGTGCGGCTCGATATGGGGCCAGCATTTTCCGACGCCGAGGCATCGCCGAGCCATCGCCGAGCCATCGCCGAGGCGTCGCCGATGCAACGCCGAGGCATCGCTGATGCCTCGGGCCCCGTTTGGGAGTCTTCCAACTCCACGACCCCGGTCCATGCGTGCCGTGCTTAATGGTGGGCGGTCGTCGGGGCAATGCCGCTTCTGTGAGGGGGGGCAGTTCTGTTCAGGACTGTTGCCCTTGCCTGAATCAGTTTGCCGTCCGTCACTCTTCACTCGCCACCAGTCTCGATGTTGTGTAAGTGACGAAAGCTCTGCGTTTCCTCACACTCCCGTCCAGAAACGATGCCCAGGGGAGTTGCATGGATCAGGGAAGGTTGGGAGCATGCACTGCAACAATACATGGGGGCAGCCGTCGAACCAAATGTAGGGATCAACTTGAGCAGGCCCAGAAGGCAACCATAAGTGCAGTCGCTAGACTTTCGATATGGGAGCCTCTTGGCACTGTATCTGGGCCCTCTCGGAGCCACTTTGGAGACCTTCTAGGCTCTCTCGGGGCCCTGTTGGGGCTCTCTTGGAGTACTATCGGGGACCCTGGGGTCTCTCGTGGGGTCTCTCTTGGTTCAATATTGGAGATCAGCTTCGGACGTGGGCTGGCTACGGCTTCAGGAGAGTCTCGGCCTTGCCGTTCCGTATCCTCTGGAGAGTCTCGGCCTGGCCGTTCCGTTTCCTTCGTCCTGTTATCGCAGTTGTGTGTTCGGCCGCATCGGATTTTACAGAGAGGGCAGGCACTCTACATCATGTTTCCCTCGCGTTGGGGGTCCCGTGGCTGGTCAGGTTCCCCGGACGGAGTCCGCTTTCTTCTGGCAGCCCTGGGTGGTCTTTCGTGAGGTAGGCTGGCTGGCCGACTGCTTCGAGGCTGGTGGCTGGTTGTCCCCCGGGGCTCCTCGCCGACGCGCGCGACGCCAGGGCCGGCACCGACCGCTATCGCGAAACACAAGGAATGCATTTACCAAGTCCCCCGCAGCTGCGGATAAGAGAGAAGGTGCTTGGCGCGCGCTCTTGGAATCCACGACGCGCTTGCTGCTAGCGGCATTTGGACCGAAGCCGCCGCGGACACACCGCCCCTCTTCGGTGAGCCCTCCAAGCGTGCCAGCGTGGCCCCCCAAGCCTGGCCTCCCAGCGTGGCCTCCCAGCGTGGCCTCCAAGCGTGGCCTCCCAGCGTGGCCTCCCAGCGTGGCCTCCCAGCGTGGCCGCCAGAGAGACGACCCCTAGACGGACCAACGCGAGCAGGGACAGAGTGAGACCGCTCGGGCACCCTCTTTCTGATATATATATATATATACATATATATATATACACATATATGTATACATACATATATATATATACACATGTGATGGGCGAGGTACGAGTGATGACGTTGTGTTTTGGGCGAAGCCCTTAAGGGGGGGTCCAGGGGGGGGGGAGGGGGGAGTGCAACAGTCTAATGGCCGTTTTCGTTTTTTTTCCTTCGGGTTTTTGCATGTGTTCCAGGTTCCTCCCCAAGACGGCCCAAGAGCGCTCGCAGAGAGCCCAAGACCGCCCAAGACGGCCGAAGAGGCCCCCAAGAGGCCCACATATATGTTTTGTTGCTTTTTATATCCACACAAATACATATATGTATGTGTGTATATGTATATATATATATATATATATATATAGATGTGTGTATCCAAACAAACGAAACAAACGCTCCCGGGGGAAGCGAGGCCAGGCCTCGAGGATTTAGCTCCGAGGCGGAGCTCGCTGGTCGGGAGGGCCGAGATCGGAGGGCCCCGTCGAGGCGCAGCGGCGGCCCCTCCCTGGCGTGCCCCGTTCCCCCGGGGCCTCCCGGGGGGCTTCTCGTGGCCACGGCTGGATCTATGTCGGGCGTGTCCCCCTACAGGGGGATTTTCGATGAAAAATACACCAACAAAATATTTAAAGAAAATGATTAGGTAGTCCCCCAGACTATGGTTGGATTATTTTTGGGGTATTTGTTATTTTTCGGGCCTGGCCAGGACCCCAGGCAAGGGGACCCGGTTAGTGGTAGGGCCCCGGAGCCCCCAAAGTAGCCAGGATCACTATAAGCCAGGTCTGCCGTGGCCCAGGACACATCACTGAACCAGGTCCCACGAGACCCAGTTCTGCCAACGCCCGACCGGGGCCTCCCGGGGGGCTTCTCGTGGCCACGGCTGGATCTATGTCGGGCGTGTCCCCCTACAGGGGGATTTTCGATGAAAAATACACCAACAAAATATTTAAAGAAAATGATTAGGTAGTCCCCCAGACTATGGTTGGATTATTTTTGGGGTATTTGTTATTTTTCGGGCCTGGCCAGGACCCCAGGTAAGGGGACCCGGTTAGTGGTAGGGCCCCGGAGCCCCCAAAGTAGCCAGGATCACTATAAGCCAGGTCTGCCGTGGCCCAGGACACATCACTGAACCAGGTCCCACGAGACCCAGTTCTGCCAACGCCCGACCGGGGCCTCCCGGGGGGCTTCTCGTGGCCACGGCTGGATCTATGTCGGGCGTGTCCCCCTACAGGGGGATTTTCGACGAAGAATAAAAGATACCCCAAAAATACCCCAAAAAGAAAAATACAAAAAAATAGTCCCCAGATTATTTTTGGACCATGTTTGGATTATTTTGGGGGGCATTTTCTATTTTCGTCGACAGTCCCGCTGTAGGGGACAGGCCCGACTTAAGGGTGGATCTTTTGGACGGTCTCAGACAGGGCTCTTTTCGAGTCTTCCGATTCGATTCGACTCGACTTTCATGGATTACGATTCCGATCCGATTCGACTTGGGATTCCGATCTGGGGTCCGATTTCTCGATGGAGGCCTACTAGCCTGCCGATTTCCTCCGATTTGACTTTTTCCAACTCGGCTGCCGATTTCCGCCGATCCGACTCACTTCGCGTCGATCGCCGATCCGACTTGTCGACTCGATTCTGGGCTCTGTTGCCAGACCGCTCAGGAACGCTCTGAGAAGGCCGCAGCGCCCGAGACATCCGATGTTGTCAGAGCGTTAATGATGTTATAAACGAATGCGCGCTGCGCTACGGCGCGAAAGACATTTTGAAAAGGAGCCACCCTCACTCCGTGAATATCATGCGAGTTGTTGAAGCGAAAATGCGCGGCGCCAGGGCGATAACCACACTTTGAAAACAATCCGCCCTCAATCCGCGAAAGACATCCGATGCTGCCCTCGTCCTGGCTGCGTCTCGATCCTCCCGCGGCGCCCTCTCCCGCCGCTCCTCCCGCCCTCTCACCCCTTGCTCTCGCCGCCCGGCGCCGCGCTGCCCGAGCCCGGCGCTTCGACCTCAACGGCGACGGCTTCGTCAGCTTCCACGAGTTCGCCACCCGCATGGAGGCCCGGCGGGGGGGATCCACACAAGAGCCTCAAGGTCGACTATGTAGACGTACAGTCGGGGCGCTGAAGAAGGAACCCTTCTCGTTGGGGAGGGGCTCCGTGTTCCTTCATTGTTTCGCAGTTTGCCCTTGGTTTTCTTCAGATTTTCGATGGGGGATCAAAGTGTAACTTATGGAAAAGAGGGGCCTCGTTCCTTATTTAGGGTTCCTTAGGTCAACGCCCCGATTGTATGCGTGACCTTTCGCCGGATTGACCTTCGGTACGCGCCCAAGGGGGTCCCCCGATCGCTGGACACGAAGCGTCAGCGGCGGCTTGCGCGCCCAGGTTTGGCCACCCTGCGCCAAGGGTCACTCTTGCCTAAAGGGTCACTTCTGCGTGTAGCCGATAAGAGTAACAACCCCGAAGCAGAATCTCACCATGAACTCATGGCCTAACTCACGTGATCGGTTTTTGGGGTTATATCCCGAGTTGAACTTATGGGCAGTTCCGACCGCGACATCTGGAAAATGCCCCCCCTATCTCTCACGTCCCTGGCCTTCCCCAATGCAGGCTGGGCGACGGGATCTACTCCCACCAGAAAGATGAAGATCATTTATCAGTTTTCATCGGTCCCTGATTTTATTGCAGACAACGATGGATCTGGACTGGACCCTGGGCGTTTTCTGGGAGCTTTCTTTTCCGTGGAGCGCTCGTATGTCTGGACTTGGTCTGTAGTTGAAGACATCGTTTGGCGTGGGTGTCCCTTTCTTTGCTTAGAACGCTTCCTAACACTTAAGGATGGGTGTACAAATGAGGCGTTCCAGAGAGGGCCTTGCCATTGAGGGTCGAAGGAGCTGGCACCTCTTCCTCGGCGGAGGGCGGCGGAAGGTCGGCGGAGGCCAGCGGGAGGCAAACTTAAACGAGGCTGCCTCCGCCGCGCCGCTGGTGTGTACAGCGCCACAGCGATCACGCCGCGGGCTCCAAACACTTAGTGGGCGGGTCGAGGAGGAGGAGGAGGAGCAGGAGGAGGAGGAGGAAGAGGAGGAGGAGGAGGAGGAGGGATTAGGAGGAGGAGGAGGAGGAGGAGGAGGAGAAGGAAGAGGAGGGACGCTCGCGGGTGGGTCGCGGGCGGGTCGCGGATGGGTCGCGGGCGCGTGGCGGGCGGGTCGGTGGAGGGTCGCGGGGTGGGTCGCGGTGTGGGTGGCGGGCGAGGACGGCGACGACAGCGACAGGGTCCGAGTAGGTGGGGTCCGGGGATCGCGCCGCATCGCCGATGCATCGCCAATGCGGCGATGCGGAGCCCGATTTGCTTCACGCTGGCGTCGCCGATGCACCGCCGACGTCGACGATGGATCGCTGGTGCATCGCCGATGCATCACCGATGCATCACCGTTGTATCGACGATGCGGCGCTCTCCTCCGACACCATCTACTCCGACCCCATCTAGGAGGCCTCTAAACGAACATAACTCCTCATCGTGGAAGCCCAGTCCAGTCCAGTTGACCCAAGAGGGGGTCCAGCGACAAAGGGGGTGGTGCAGCAGATTTGGTGCAATAGATTTGTTGGGTTGCAGTTCGAGCGTGCAATACATTCTGGTGCAGAGCGTGTGTTGCAGCGTGCAGAACGTTGGTTGCAGCGCAGTGCAAGACAATCCTCTGGCGCAAGACGTTTGCAATACAAATGCCCCAAACCTAGTGCCCCATCCCCCTTCAGCTGGGACCCCCTCCTGTGCCAACCAGCTTCAGGCACGCAACCGGGGATGATGCAAAACCCCTCGGCCTCCCACCCTGTCTGCGGTGCATGCCCGCCGCCCAGAGGTCCATCCTGGGCCCCCCTGGATGGGTGGTGACGCCTCCCTGGCCGAGCCAGGGGGGGCGTGTGCCCCGACCCCCCGGCACATGATGTGCTCATGACGTGGCATCGGAACTTGGAACATACACATTACAGTCAGCCCGCATAGGAAGGATGGGCAAGCCTCCCACGGGTACCCTTGCATCCTTGCCTCCTCGGTCCATCCTTCGCCACTCTCGTCGGCCGCGCCCCGCTCGAGAAGCTTCGAAATGGGCGTCCTAGGCCCTTGCATCCTTATCGCGCATCCTTATTATGCGGGGTGACTGTACCAGTGGTGGGCTGTTTTTCAGTCCCCGGACTTCCTGAGGGTCGGGGGCGACGTCGGGGTGGTGTGGTGTGTACTATGTCCCGCGCTTTTTCTTTTGGAAACGCCGGACAATGCATACACCGGGATTCCGCATACACCAGATCCGCTCTTCTGTGCAAGTGTGTCAGTGCGGGGCCGGAAAAAACCTCAGTGTATAGAGTTCGAAATAGTGTGTTCATGACGTGGGCCCACAGAATTTTCGACCCCTTTCCCAGGTACAGCCTTTTCCTCCTGAGTCGGTTCTTTACGATCCCTGGGCCCAGCAAGGGGCCCCAGAGTCCGACAGTGGCCGAAAACCTCCCGTCGTGTTGTTTTTCTGGACGGAGGGGATTTGGGCACACCGCTCCTGGGACCAGGGCGTGCCTGGCCAGAGGCGGCAGCCATGTACAGGCGTGTAGAGTCATGACGGACAGAAAGGATGAGCGGGTTTTCAAAAGTTTCCCTTTGCATCCTTCGCATTCGGCCCATCCTTCGCAACTTGCGCTGGCCGCTCCCCGCTCCAAAAGTGTCGACATGGCCCTCCAGGGTCCTTGCATCCTGATCGTGCATCCTGTGCATCCCTCCAAAGGCCTTTCAAGGCCATTGCACCCTCATCGTGCGTCCTCATCGCGCATCCTTACGGCGCATCCTTAACCGTCAAAGGTCTTCAGTTTTGGCCCCCCTCCACCCATTTTGTCTCTGCGGTGAACAGGGCTGGTCCAAAAACCTCCTCCTCCTCCTCCCTCCCTCCCTCCCTCCCTCCCCTTCCTCCTCCTTTTCCTCCTCCTCCTCCTCCTCCCCCTCCTCCTCCTCCTCCTCCTCCTCCTCCTCCTCCGTAGCCATTTTGGCTCAAGATGACGACCTGGGGGGCTGTCCAGCCTCCAGGCCGAAGGGAGACCTCTGGACCGAGGACAGTTCCCAGACGGGCGTCGGGCGCGCGCGCGGCACCGCAGCAGCCATGGGGCGTGGCGGCGGCGGACGCGGGGCGGGCAGCGCCTGGTCGGGGACCCCGAATGGCCAGAGGGTTCCCCCGTGGAAGAGGAGCAGCAGTGGCAGTCGCCCTCCTCGCAACAGCTACGTGGTGTGTGACGGGTGCAGCAGATGGCGCTACTGCGGGAATATCACCAGCAGGGGCGACATCTGCATCTGCGGCAAGAACCTCGCCTGCCTCGTCCCCGACGGTCATGTCTTCCGTGACGACGATGGTGGGTGGCTGGCAGCACAGCCCCAAGGAGGAACCTCGCCCAGGATCAGTTGGGCAGATGGTTGGCAGCCAGGTGGTGGTGCAGGCGGGAAAGGACAAGGAGGCCAACGCCAGCCACTACCTCACGACAAGTCTGTCGACCTCAAGGCTGCCGCCGCAGCAGCTTACAGCAAGCTCAACAAGGACGACCCGCTCAGGCAGCACTACGAGGCCCTCTGGCCTGAGCTCGCCGCAGCCAAGCCACCAGCTGACCAACCAGTCGTCAGATTCAAGGCAGTGGAAGCAGCAGCACGACGTTTGGACAAACTCCAGAAGAAAGTACGATCGGCAGGGGAGCAAGTTGAGAGTGCCCAGCAGTACTTGGCTGAGAGTGAACGCAAGCTTCGTGAAGCCATGGAAGCCTCCATTGCAGCCGAAGATGAGTTCGACAAGCTCAAGGCCACAGTCGGCAAGCAAGAGGCCCCAGCTGAACCTGCAGCCGAGAAGCCAACTCTGGCAGCCCTCCTGGAGCAGTTCGAGCATGAGCCTGACGACTTCCACAAGTGGTCCGAGCCCGGCAAGGAGGTCCGGCCGGCGAGCAGCGAAGGCCAAGGGCGAGCGCATGGCCCAGACGGTCAAGGAGCACGAGGAGGAGACGGCGAAGCACCTGCGACTACTGGAGGAAGAGACGGCCAGGCACCAGGAGCAGCTGCGCCAGCTCGAGCAGGCCCGCACCAAACGCATGTCAAAGAGCGGAGTGCAAGACCCAGCAGCAGCAGAAGCCCCACCAGGCAAGCGAGTCTGCGCCGCCAGCCCAGCTCCTCAGCGAGGTGCCACCACATGCACTGAGGCAGCAGGGACAGCCGCCGCGGCTGTGCCCACCGGCGCCGCAGCAGCTGCCCAACCAGAAGCAGCCGCAGCAGAACCTGACAAAGCAGAAGAACGCCGAGCCAGAGTGGAGGCCCACATCCAGGAGGCGCGAGAGAAGGTCTCGCAGGCTAGGCGCGCCGAGACAGTCGTCGACGCAGAGGGGCAAGGTGACCACTCAGCAGGGTAGCCACCCCAAGGCGAGCGCGAAGAAGGCTCACCGCCCGTACCACATCGACTTCTTCAACGTCACGACCGTGGGCCCCCAGGCACAGGGCTACCTCATGGAGATCAACAATGCCAATGACAGGGACATCACTGGCATCGCAGAGCACCACCTCCGCCAGCCTGCGCAGATAAGCAAGGCAAGAGCGGCGCTCAGGCGGAATGGCACGCACAGCTACTGGACCAAGGCACGGCCAGGAGAAGGAGAAGGCACACGAGGAGGCACGTGTGCTATCGCGCGAGGATCCTTGGACATCCAGGACAGGATCGCGGGTTTTGATGAGCGCTACCTGCACGAGGACGGCAGTGACGTCGCGGTGGTGATCTCCAACCTGCACAAGGTTCGTTTCGCAGTGGCTTTCGTCCACCTTGAGTGTGGGACGGGCTTTGTAGAGCGGAACGTCGACATCCTCTGCGACCTGCGGGAGAAGATGGCCGTCTGGGGAGGGCCCTGGGCAGCGCTTGGGGACTTCAACATGACGCCGTCGGAGCTCAACAACAGCATTTGGCCCAGGGCGCTGAATGCTCAGGTAGCAGCGGCGGAGGATGGCGCCCCCACATGGTTCCCAGCAGAAGGTGAAGCTAGATGCATCGACTTCGCGCTGATCT